ATAATTATAGGAACAACAATTATAAATTTTGTAGTAAAAAAAAAAAGATGTGATAAGATGTTTCAGAGCGATCCTTTGGTTCCAGGTGGCTGGCGTGAGCGGGAGAAGGCCCGGGAGGAGAGCTGGGGTCCTCCCCGCGGCGGCGGCCAAGATGATGAAGAGGAAGGCGATGGAGATGAAAGGCCATCTGATCGCTTCAGAGACCGTCGGCCACAGAGGTGGGGAAGGAATCGGCGTCTGAAGAGCAGCAGACGCTCCTCCTACAGAGAAAGTCGTTTCTGTTTGTTTTACTGAGATTTTAAACTGTTTGCAGAGAGGAGAACATCTGGAGAAGAGGAGGCACAGAGGAAGGAAGCTGGAGGGAATCTCGCAAAGAAGACGCTGACCGTGATGATCGTCGTAGCGACCGGAGGGAGCGAGACAGACGAGATGATCGCGATAGCAAACCACCTAGGGATACTGATGAAGGTGAGGAAAACTTGGAGATATGAATTTAGTTTCAATTCAGTTTATTTCTATAGCGCCAATTCACAACACGTCATCTCAAGGCACTCATCCAGTCAGATTGATTCAAAGTTTGATATCTAAGGAGAACCAGTTGATTGCATCGACTCATTGACTCTTCAGCAATCCCTCACACTAAGCATGCTTGTAGCGACAGTGGAGAGGAAAAACTTCCTTTAACAGGGAGAAACCTCCAGAAGAACCAGGCTCAGCTCGATCAGATGGCTGAAAACAGTTTTTTGAACCTGAAAAGCATAACTTTTAAAATCTACTGCTAATGCATCTCACATTCTAATATCAGAAACATCAGTATCTCAGTTTAAAAAAAAAGGAAAATCAACTCTGTCACACAGACTTTGTTTTTAGCACTAATACAATTACCATTCTAAGTATTTTATAGCATTTTTCCAGTAAAAAGGGACTAAATAAATAAGTCACTGGGAAGGCTGGGGTTACCCTCCACCATGAAGGGATGCATCAAAGACCAGCTGATCTATTAAAGCACATCATTGGAAAGTTTAGTGGAAGGAGAAAAGTTTGAAAATTGCAAATTGTCACAAGTTGCCTGAGTCAGGTCCAGTATAAAGTTTTACAGTTGGGGACCATTTAATGTGCTGATGTTGATTTGATTGATTTAAATCTAGAATTAAACACTTAAAGTATAAAACTGTATTTACTTGATCTGTGAGTTTTTCTATGATCTAGTTTATTGAGATGAAATGTCATCTATAGCCAGCAGGGGTCACTGTTTCCATGTGTGAATACTGCTACTGAGGGAGGGGGGGCTCTCTGTGCCTCAACATGTTTTCAAGATGTATTTAATATTTAGTGTTTTTTGACTTACTCCCTAACCATGCAGTCGCATCTGATGCCCCAGGCAGTACATGGCGCCGCGGCGGCGAAGAAAGACGAGAGGAACGGGAGCGTCCCAGAGAGCGGGAGCGCGAAGCTGACGGGGAGAAGGCCTGGCGCACCGACAAGGAAAACCCTCGCCGCACCAAGAACGAGACGGACGACGATGGTTGGACCACCGTCAGGCGCTAACATCTACGACCATGTGTCCAAGCGCTCCTGGCCAACATAATCCAAATATTAAACCATAAGAATAATAATCATCCAGCAGGTCAAGGTTTGGATTAACGCTCCTCGCCTCTAATACTGGATGAAATACTTGTAGGCGGATTTATTTTCTTTTTTTTGTCTTCCTGTGATCATTCAGACAGGTTCCATTTCCTCATGATCTTTTGTGCACAGCGGCCTCATAACAAACAATAGTCTATAAACGTGTTATTAGAGCTTCAGACGCTCCTGGGCTGATGTTCAATTCAAACCGTTTCACCAACTGCCTCTTAACTCTACATGTTCAAACTCAGATTAACATCTAGCAACAGGAGCAGTTCTTTTCCTGACTTCTGCTCCTCATGTCGAAGGAGGTGCTTCTTAATCTGCTGGTGGATTTTACATCTTAATTTGCATGCTTCAGATTATTCAGATTATCTTAATATCCAGTGTGTGCTGCTGCAATCAGTGGTTTCGTACCACTTTGCATGTATGCATAGAAATCCTAGAAATAATAAAGATGTTTGCTCACTACTTGTTTGGTCATTCTTTCTTATTTAGTGTTTTTAATCCCTAGAATGGTTTTAAAGATAACTTTAATCTGTTGCTTCGCCTGTTAAAACTGAATTTATTAATCCAGCTGGAGAAAAGAAAACTTTCCCTCAGAAATATTAAATATTTCTATCATCATAATTAGTTACTTTGCACAACAAAAGATTAAATAAACCAGCTTTTTGGGGAAAATATATATCCGCAAAATAATAAAGCTTTCACTGCTCAATCAGTATTATTTATGCTATTTTCATGGGTGTCTATAAAAAAGAAAATGGTTAGAAATGTACAATTTTTAGGTATTTTCTTTCAGTGGGAATAAAAATCAATAAGATTTTACGCTTTTTAAGTTATTTGCACATTCAGATGTCGAGAAAACCTGTTGGAATTTTGATCCATACATAATTGTCATAAGAAAAGTGTGTTAAAGTTGAATATGTAACAATCAATAAAGGTAAGCAGTTAATAGATTTAATCCACATGGAGAGAAATAGAAAAATTTTTTCTTAAGTGATTTTATTTGGCTTTAAGGTAAAGGAAACCCAAAGTCCAGAGTCTCAAAATTAGATTTAAAAAAAAGTATGTTTATTCCTTCGCAATCAATACGTGGTTCTTTGCATCAATGCGCCATCGGCCTGTAGCATTGTGAAGAAGTAACGGAAACCCAGATTGCTTCGATAGCTGCCTTCAGCTCGTCCGCCTCGTTGGTTCTGGGGTCTCGTCTTCCTAACGGCTCATAGATCCGTTAGGTTCGGGTCAGAGGAGCTTACCGGCCAATCAAGAACAGAAACACTGTGGTCACTGAAGCAGCCTCGGGCATCCGGAAAATAAAATCATCCCTGTACAGCTTCGCAACGGAGGTGAGAATGAAGCGCTTCAGAGGTTCCTGGATCTAATGGCACTCCAACCCTTCGCAAAAAGTAGTTTATTCAAGTATACTAAAAGTGCACTTAGTTTACTTATTCTAAACTATATTTTATATACTTAACAGTATAGTCAAGTGTACTTGATACTATTTATTGTTTACTAAAGTATACTTTAGTAAACTTAAATTGTCCAAATTTAGTATTATTTAGTATTTAGTATATTACTAAAGTAATACTTCAAGTACACTAAAAGTACATTGTTTGGTATACTTTCTAAACTTATACTTAAGTATTTTTAATAGAATTTACTTCTAGTATACTACTTTATGCTAAGAGAAACCTCCACTACCTGAGGAAACATGGATCCAGACTCTCAAACCTAGATTTCCAAATGAAATGCAAAATTGACTTCCATCTGGAAGCAGGTAGTTGAACCATTAAACACGTATTTAATGGTAGACTTCTGACGTTATTGTTCAGACGTGACATTTTAAACCATTGTATTCACTTGTGCTTTGAGAAGGTTGTAAGGATCTGGTTTGATCCCCACAGACTCAAACTCTGGATCATTGAGCAAGACCCTTAACCTCCACGCAGCTCCCCAGGTGCTGCACAATGGCAGCCCAATGCTCCCCAAGGTGATGGGTTAAATGCAGAGAGAAATTTCTCCAATATGAGATCAATAAATTTCAATTATTGTATTTCTCTGCTTCATGACTCTTGATGCTGCGAAACCGGCCTCAGTCCACTCCTTGAGAAACTCCCTGTTGCTTTTGCACTTTCTCTTGCCAGACTTCTTTCTTCCACTTAATTTTCTGATATTTTGTTGGATATAAAGCTCCATGAACAACTAGCTTCTTTAGCAACCACCTGTCGCAGCATACCCTCCATTGAATAGTGTCATTAATTGTCCTCTGTTCGGTCATCACTCTGACCCAGAGCGCTGCAAGTGTTCATGCATTGAACTTTATTGATTTCACATTGGAGAAATTTACTTCTGCATTTAACTTATCCCCTTGGGGAGCAGCGGGCTGCCATTGTGGGGTGCCCGGGGAGCTAAGAGACCCAGAGGGGCAGTCTTCCAAGCTCTATGCCCTAACCATAAGGGCCGCCACTCACCCTGTAAGGGTGTTCACAGATTTAGAGTATGGCACCATCAGTTTCCAGTAATTAAGTCTTTCTATGTTCTTGAGTTATATGTGTCCAATAAAAACATGCACCTTCAGGCTTTTGTTACAGTAAAAATCCTCGAACTCGAAGACTTTGATTCACAAGTTACAATTAACAGATGTTTTATTAGTGCTGAAAGTGGAGAAATTCTGGTTCCAGTAGCTTATATAGAGGACAAAGAGTTAAAGCAAGATGCCATTAAAGATAAAAATAAGACAGACAATATAAAAAGAGTGTATAATAGTACAAAAAAGTATAAAAAAAGAAAAAAGTAATGTCCTGAAATGTTTCCCTTAAATATTAAAATATCTGCACAATACAGAGGTAGTAGTTAACTTGGGTTATTGCACCTGCACTGCAGAGATTTACTGATCATATAAATAAGTGAAAATTACACAAGCTACACAGTAGTTATATGTTATTGCACAGTGAGAGAGAAGAATAATGCACACGAGTGACATTAGGTATGTTTTGCATAAGATGTCCAAGGGTGCTGACCCTTGACCCTCTTCCCATCACCTCCTCCTTCCCCCAAGTTGTACTGCTTGATGACTTGGGGAACAAAGGAGTTCAGCAGTCTGTTGGTCCTGCATTTGGGGAGGAGATTTTATGCATTAAAATGTAAGAAGTTGAATTCCGTTTAAAAGCTTGGATTTGTTTTTTTATTTGTTTGATGGGATATTCACCTTAAAAATGACCATTGCGGTGTTTTTGTGCTTTAAAAAAAATATCTAAATTACTGAAATGGGAAACTGATGCAGGAATGAACACCTAGTGAAATCTGGTCAGGTTTTCTCAACTTAAACAAAACAAATAGAAGAATATTAATAAAAAAATCAAAAAATATTTTTTCTTTCCCTTTTTCTTGTTTCAAATCTTCTTCCAAAACCGCAACAACAACAATCATCAGTTTCAGAGTTTAGATCCAGCTTTGTTTTGGAGGTGTTTGGTTCTGCTTTACCCTTTATGGCCAGCAGAGGTCAGTAAAACCCTGTAGGAAGCACCATTCATGTCCTCCATGTTCAGCAGCAACTGGCTGCATGTAAAACTTTAGGGAAACATCATGAGGCTGGCTGACGTTCATGATGGGGGAGTAACTTCAAAACCAGAGATATGCTGCTGCTGGAAATATTTATAAAAATCTCTGACAACAAATTATTATAATTATCTGTTACAGGGAGTAATTCGCTACCATTTAGAAAGAAAACGAATGATTCTACTAAAAATACGGAAATTATATAGAAATGCTTTTTTTTAACAATAAAACGTCACAATGCAAATCTCTAAATTTAAATAATTTAAATAAGCGCGCAAAAGAAAAAAAATCTTTTTTTTATGGATTTAAATTTTTTAAATCAGGAGTATATCTTTGGTACATTTTTATTGAATTTAAAGCGCTAAGAAGTATTTTTTTTATTATTATTTTTAAAGCTGTTTTTTATTCCCCGGAAACCAAAGAAAATGAGAAAAATAAGAAATAAAATTTTCCAATTGCAATCTTATAAGACGGTAAAAAAAACTGTCTAATAATTTGAGTTGTGTTTTTTTTTTTTTACTACAACTGCTACTAATAATTATTATAATAATTTGTTTTTGTCATTTATTAGTATTATTTGTACTAAAGCTTTTAAAAAATAAAAGTAATTGTTCATTGGCAGGAGGTTTGCTCAGCTGCCTCAGTTTCTCTGAAGGCCCCGCATGGTGTGCGGCCGTGGCCCCGCATGCCAACTGATCCACGCACAGGTCGGCTTCAGCAAAACACCTGAACCTTTTGTTCGTCTTTATCCTGAGACATAACCCGCTCACATAGAAACACTCGCTTTTTCTTAAAGAAATAAAAAAGATGTACTCCACAGCTTGGATTCATAAGACTTTTTTTTTTATTTTGTGCTGAAGCTTTGTTGAAGAAGAAAAAAAAATGTTTTTATATATATATATATATATATATATATATACATGTATCCAATCTAAGGAGGAAAAAAAGAATAAATGGAACAAGAATTAAAGCAAACAGTGGAGAAATATGTTCCTGATCTAGAAAACATAGTTTAATAGAAGCGAGCAGTTTTATTAAAACCAATTAATGCTGTCAGAGCGCAGCGCTCCCTCTCCCTCCTAAAATCAGTTTCTGAGCAAACAAGGAGCAAACCTGCAGCTCTCCATGGTTCCAATGAATGAGTTAAATGTCCCGAAGATATTTGCGCGAGCGCGAGGGGGTGCGCGCGCGTGTGCGGGGGGCCTCCTCTCTGGACGAATCCGTTCCGTGTTGCGCGCTCGAGTCCGCCTCTCCGCGCCCCTGCTTCCCCGTTGACGCACTTTTTAAGCGTCTTCCCCCGTCTCCACCTCAAGGCGAGCAGCAGCGGCGGCGGCAGCAGCAGCGACCAATCACCATGCCATTACAGCCTGCAGAGGAAGCTGTTTATGGGGCTGCAGCGCTAATTAGGCTCATGAACTAACAAATCTGCCTGCACCAAGCCGGCCGGGGAAGAAAAAAACTGCGCATCCATGGATTAGTCTGGGAGTAGCTGAGCGCTTTTTATTTTTTCCTGCAAGCTTCCCAACTTATTTCACAGCGAAGAAAACTTTCCCCCCTTTTCTTTGGGTGTGGAGGATTATTTCAAACAGAGGCGCTTTCGAGAACTTCGACCTAAGCTGGGGAATCTGGACTATCAGACCATGTTCCAACCCACACCCAAGAGGTGTTTCACGATAGAGTCGTTAGTGGCCAAGGATAATCCGGTACCGGTGTCCCGCTCCGAGGAGCCCATCAGGCCGGCGGCTCTCAGCTATGCAAACTCCGGCCAAATGAACCCGTTCCTCAACGGCTTCCACTCCGGCGGCAGGGGCGTCTACTCGAACCCGGACTTGGTGTTTGCGGAGGCGGTCTCTCACCCGCAGAACTCCGCCGTCTCGGTGCACCCGGTGGCCCCGCCACACGCGCTGGCCGCTCACCCGCTCTCCTCCTCTCACAGTCCGCACCCGCTTTTCGCCAGCCAGCAAAGGGACCCCTCCACCTTCTACCCCTGGTTATTACACAGATATAGGTACCTGGGCCACAGGTTTCAGGGTAAGTCCTCCATCTGGCTCAGCTTTACGCATGACGCACGCCGAGCGGCACTTTTAGGGTTCACTTTTTTTTTTTTTTTTTGGTAACTTATCAATTTAAAAATAAATAAATCTTGACAACTGAGGAAAAAAAATACACATCCATAAACAATAATCTAAAATACAGCAATTTTTAAAAGCTAGTTTCACCCTAAACAAACCTGTACAGAAGCTATTAAAACAAAAAAAGCAAA